TGTTTTTTGGTTTTTGGTTTTTGGTTTTTTCGAGACAGGGTTTCTCTGTGTAGCTTTGTGCCTTTCCTGGAACTCACTTGGTAGACCAGGCTGGCCTCGAACTCACAGAGATCCGCCTGTCTCTGCTTCCCGAGTGCTGGGATTAAAGGCGTGCGCCACCACCGCCCAGCGGGCTTGATTTGTGTTGGGTTTTGTCGTTGTTGTTGCTGTTGCTGTTGTTTCTGAATGCGAAGGTTAGGCAGCCTTGAGTGCTTCTGCTCGTGACAACTCCACAGTTCCTGTGTCCTCACGGGGGTTGTAAGGTAGCCGGCAGTGGGTTGTTACTATGAAAAGGTAGACTGCTGTTTCTTCACTAGGCAAGACTGAATGATTCCCCGGGAGTCCGATGAGATTAACTGGCTTGATTCACACTGTCCTTCAGGGCTGAGGGCCCTGGTGTTGACCACTTACTGGTGTCTGTTGTTCTGGACCCATGTCAAGCCAAGAACCAAAGCGCTCCCAGACAGCCTTGTGGATGAACCTGTCCCCAAATATTCCTCAGTCCATACATGTTTTTTTTTTTCCCTAAGATGTTTTTCAAAGTTGTTCGCCATAAACATCACATACATGTCTTAGTGGCTCCTTAACTATTAGGAGAAATTCCCTTCCATAATGTGAGATGCTTTGGAAGGCACCGTTACCATGGCAACTAAATAGTTAGGGCTCCAGTGGTTCTCCTTAATAGTCCCAGTTTGTTCATAGCACCTCAGAAGGTAATTCTTGGTATTACAGAGGCAGGATCTGCACAGAAGAACATACCCACTTGTTGCTAAGCTCTGGTGTGTGAACAGTTACTAACCAGTGCAGAGAGAAAGAGAGAGAGAGAGACCCTCCCTAGTTATATCTATAATTTTTTTTCAACGCTTGAATTCTTTTTAATTTTCTTGGTACCCATGAATAATCCCTTTTTATTTAAACAGTGACATTTCAAGCTGTTGCATTTTTAGTTTTTCTTCAGAAAAATTCTCAGCTCTTACTAAAACTCATACACACACACACACACACACACACACACACACTTACTGTGTGTATATATGCAAGATAGCCCTCATCTGACTTTTTAATGAGTGAAACCTGGCATAACTGGGTAAAGGTTAATGTGTGTTATAGTCACATAATGTAAAATTTGGTCATCAGCCACCGAGGACGGGAATACAGAGAACACAGTCAGAACACGAGTTGATTCAGTGTTTCCCCTACTCCTGAACGCAAGATCTTCCTATCTTCTTGCCATCTTTCGCTTTGGTAGACAATTTATTGTTTTCGCCTAAACTGGAGTGTGGAGGAGGAAGAGACTGTCTGAAGAGCATATAAATGTCTCTTCCAAACTAGGAGAGACTAGCTGTTCATTTGCTGAGGTGAGGAGCACGCTAACCCTGACTCTCTTCACAGTGGGCAAGCCTCACAAGTGTAACTACTGTGGACGAAGCTACAAGCAGCGCAGCTCACTGGAGGAACACAAGGAACGCTGTCACAACTATCTCCAGAATGTCAGCATGGAGGCTGCTGGGCAGGTCATGAGTCACCATGGTGGGTAAAAATGCATTTGTGCTTTTTGTTCCTTCCTATTCTGCTGTGTACAGTCCCTCTCGTGGGTTAGAGCATTCTGTCATCTCCTTCCTGTAGTTCTCGGCCACCTCTACTTTGTACGGAATTGTCTTCCTCAGCAGTTGACGTGAGCTGTTTTGGAACACACTCCAAACAAGATTCTCGAGTTCCCGTGGCACTCCCAAATCAGTTCTGATAGCATGTGTTTGAATTAACACAGTAATGACAGCCAGCATTAGAGCTACATTAGAAATGCCACAGGGAAGTACTGTTTAGTCTTCTCTTGTGTTTCTCCATTGAAATGGCTCCACATAAGTCTCAGTTCCCTGCATGAATGCACAGGGTGTTAACATAATAACTCCTCTCAGAGGTGCGCAATCAACTTGAGATCGCGTGCCTCGGAATTTATTTGAGGAATTAGTGATTTGACATTATACATATGCAAGAGACAACCCAGACCCAAATTTGTCTCCACTTCGTCCCCCTAAAACACATTCTGTCAGAAAAACATCTCGATCCTAACGATACACTGTGGCAGTGTGGAAGGTGGTCCCGATGGTTAATTCAGCTAATCAGTCTTACAAAGAACAGTAATGAATTTGAGTTCTTCAAATTCTTAATGTCTCTCTTATCTTATCACTTATACCAAATATTTCATACAAATAAAAACAGAAGTTCTACCTTATTGGTATTTTAGTGTTTTATTTTAAAACGACTGCCTAATATTAGATGGTATAATTTGTCTACGTCACTTTAGAAATATTAATATTCATTGACTTAGATATAGACAAATCAAAGATCATTTATCAAATTTTTTACTTTGTTTTTTATATACACAATATGCAGTGGAAGCATGCTTATTACACAATTAATGGTTTTGTGGTTTTAATTTGTTTTTTTCCCTCACAATTGTAAACATATTTTTATTTTACATAGAGCCCTTACATAAAGAATGATTCTGTCCACTAAATATGTGAGGGAGGCTAGCACAGGACCCAGAATGTGGAGGTTATATAACTGTGGGCCTTGGAGTTTGACAAATCTGGACTGACTATGTGGTGTGTGAATGTGTTGGTCCTAGGTATGCTGTGATAATCAAATGTAATAGGTTATATAATAAATGTCTCTCAAGTGATTATTTTGCTATTAGACTTTAGGGCATTAATACTAAGAACCAGTAAATAGGCCATTCTCTTTAATGTTATAACATTGCTGGTTGTATTTGCCTGCTCAGAACATTGCTTTGTTCTAACTCAGTGGCTGGTTCTCAACCTTCCTAATGCTACAACCCTTTAATACAGTTCCTTGTGTTGTGCTGACCCCCACCCTAAAATTACTTTTGTTACTACTTCATGACTGTAATTTTGCTGCTTTTATGAATCATAATGTAAATATTTTTTGAGAGGTTTGCTTGAGAACCACTGTTCTAAATTTTTAGTTTGGGGGCAGACTGGAGGCAGAGAGGACTGAAGTCCATTTAGCAGCGTGCAGAAGCTCTCTAGAGATGCTCCATAATGTCCTTATTAGTTTTTTTATGTGATGCTCTCCCATTGCAGTTCTGGCCTTTGATTGGAGGACGTACGCAAATTCTATTAAGTTATTTTTACCTTCATTTGTTTACAGAACTCTGAATTACATTTCTACCCAAATAAAAGCCAGAGTTTTTCATAACTGTATCTTCTTGTAGAGAAGATATAAATACACAATGCTGTACACCATGGAGCTTTCCTAGAATTTGTGTCATATGTTGTGTAGCGCCAGCGATGGGTCTTCTGAGCAGCTGGGGCTTTGGTGTTGTCCCATTTCCCAGACTGTTTAGTCCTTCTCAAGTAGAGGCTCTTGTGATGACCCTAAAACACAATAGGGATGAGCTAGAAAGAGACACTGCGGCCAGCGGGGCCAGGCTGGGGAGGAGTAACGTGATGACGGGTTTTGATGTTATAGACTTTAACATTTGTTCTTACATATTAGCTAGTGCTTCAACCATGCTCACTACATGCTTAACACCACTCCTGCTGTGCTTTTCTGGCTTCGTAGGAATATTCTGAGAGCACTGTAAGTCTCCTTTCCCTTCCGTGAACATATTTAATAGGGAACGGTATTGAGTGTATGAGGAAGCCAGTGAGAGATACCCTCGCAGGGAAAGCATTGGTGGGATGCCACTACAATTGTTAATTGTCTCATATACATAGCTTGTTTTGCATCTCAGAAATTCGTACTTATTCCTCCCCTCTCTCCCTGTCCTATTACCTGTTTCCCCCTTTCTGTTAGTAGTGTGAGGGGAGGTTTTGTTTTGTTTTGTTGTTTTTTGGTTTTTGGTTTTTTATCAGTATAGCTGCCATCAACTCCATGGCTTGCATAGTTACTTTTCCTAGCCTCTCTTTTCCAAAACTTGTTTGTCCCCACATGGGCTCTTCATGGGAAGATGGGTCTGAAGAAAAAGAGGTATTCTTCCACTTCATCAAGAAAAGACCATCAAAGACTTGCTATGGAACATTCTGGAAATAGAAAGATCACAGGTCACACTTTGTATACCTTTATTGTATTAGCGAGCAACCCAGGTTAAACATAACAAAATGAACTGAAGCAAACGCCTCAGTAACGATGTCTGTGAAGATCACAGACACCTAGCTGGTGGAGAAGTTGAGGGAGGCTTTGAACATGCATAGCAGCAGATCTGCGAATGAGATGAGAGATGAGAGAAAGTCCATATACCTGACAGCTGACAGACTGTATACTCCATGCAGAGATGAGGGGTGCAAGCATCAAAGGCCATTAGCAGATAATTCAAGTTCAATGAGAGAGTGACAGAAAGCAAGGCTGAAGCAACAGGGTGGGAGGAAAAAGCACTGTGTGCTGCTCCAGCCTGTGGATGCCATGGTTCAAGTGAGGGGAGGCCACTGGGTGATAGATATCAGTGCCATCACCAATGCAGAGCAAGGGTTGATGTCTTCCTGGGTCAGTGGATAGTGTGAGCAGACTGGGCACCATGATGCCAAGGAAAAGATGAAAAGGCAGTGCCAGGACAAGGGAGTAGGGTAGAGCACTGAAGGCATATTTAAGAAGAAAAATCAAGTGCTCTTATAAATACCAGTTGAATTGGAGGAAAAGGAAGTCTTCCTAGAATTTGAAATTGGATGATATTTTTGGTTAAAAGAAGCAATATTGGGAATACTCAAGTGGACCTGCTTTTATAGTTTATTTGTGTGATGAAATATGATCTGAAAAGATAGACTTTTGTCCTCCCTATTACTTCACATAAAGTTGAAAAAGATGTTGAGTTATGGAGTTTGCTCCGACAAATGAAGCTATTATCGTATGTATCTAGACCTTTGGTCTAGATAAATGTCTTGTCATGTAATTAATACAACTGAGACATGAACTATCTAGAAAATTTGTTTTGACTTCTACACAGTATAGATCCAGAAACAATAAGTTAAGTTGCACTCACATTTATGAAAGCAAGTACCTCAGATTATATAATCAAGAGAAAAAGTGTCAGGTCTTTTCACATGAACGTACAAGGCTGTCAAGCTGCTTTATATGATGTCAATTTTCAAAATCTGTCCACAAAAAAATTATAGCATATTCCAGGCATTCCCTAAAACCAGATCTCCCAGGATTAGCATTCTGACCTACCAGTGATGCACAGAAAAAAAATGACTTCAAATCTTAGTATATTTGATTCCCTATCTGTAAAAAAAAAACAAAAAAAAAACCCTACTTCCTGGGGCACTTGAAAGTGTTGTGTAGATGATTAAATGTAAAGCCTTGAAGTATTACTTATTACCAACTTTCTGTCCATCATGATTGCCAATGGGGCAGAAAGGTCGTCTTTTGGTGTGAGAGGCTGTTGTGAGGTAGAAAACAGAACAAACTCTGTTGTAGTCATTGTTTTCAGTTCACATGCACTTCATTGAACTTGAGAGAAGTCATCTGAGTTGAAATGGATGTGGTGTGGGACAGTCCCCACCCAGGTTTCATTTTGAGTGTTAGGTGTGTGCAAATATGAAAATTCAGTGTAAAACCTAAAGCAAAACTGCCACACTTTAGGCTACTCATTTCAGAACCAATTAGCATATTCAATTTGTGGGGCAACCCCGCCGACTGCCTTTACTGCTTTTTTGGCAAATTTCACAACAATTTTTTTTTTTTTTTTTGCCTGCCAATATTTTTCATTTGGTGTCTAGGCCTGTGATGTGTTTCTTCTTTGGTTCACACGTGGACTACATTGCCGTTCTGTAGCTTGTTTTTGTTTTGGGAATAGACTCTTGGTATGAATCCCAGGCTAACCTCCAACTTAACGGCAATTCTCCTGCCTCAGCTTCCCAAGTGTTGGGTTTACAGGCATGAGCCACCATGTCCAGCATGTAATTATTTTGTTAAGGTAGTAAGTGCTTATGAATTTACTGCTGAAAACACAAGTCATAATCTACATCCCAGGGCATGTTTCCTCAGTACACCAATGCCATTATTTTAGCCTCCTGCCTCCTGGCTCCCTTAGCTGAGTTCTGTAGTCATCTTGGCCTTTTTTTTTAATCCTTTGGTTTAAAATACTGTGATTTTTCTTCCAAGTTATTTTTACAGTTGTTAAGAGATCACATGCTATCTTATGTAATGTTTTGGGAGAAATTTTCCTCTCAATAATATCATAAACAGTATCAGTGTTTAATGCCCGTATTTCTAATTCTCACCTTGCCTTTATTCTTCCAAGCTGACGTGCAGCAGTTAGAGAATTCCTATTATTCAGAGCCAGAGGGTGCCTTATTAAATGTAGATTAAAGTTTAACTTCTTCTGATCAAGCCACTAGGTTACCCAAACATTGATTGTTGATTTCTTTAAAAATGGCTGAGCGAAGAAACCTTTTTGATGATCTTTTTCATTTCAAGATCAGCAACAGGTATTGATAATCAATAAGTCATGTGAAATGTACTTCACCTTTGCTATAAAATTTTTACTGTTCGTCAGCAGGATCCCCCTGGTAGATTAGAACGCATTGGGCTTCACACAGTAGGTCCATCCTTTACAAATAAAAGGCTCTAGGTGAATCACTTTACAGTGTATGCTGAATGAGAAAAGAACACCTAAGGGATGGAACTTTCTGCTCTTTCCTCTGAGCACTAACGTTAATCACCCGATCTGATCTGTGTGGAACGTTATTGCCCTTTTCTTAGTTAAACATCCTGGACAGGATTCTTACTGAAAAGCAACTTTTATGAATCACTTGGCTATCCTCGTAATGTCCATATTGAAGCCAACAGCAGTTGAGACAGGCATGATGAGTGGAACCCATCCAATGATGTAGGGCAGTAGTAGTTCAGCGAGCCAGTGTGACTGTGGAAATGGACTCCTGTATCCTCCGGAAGGGCCGTTTTCAGAAATAACCTGCAATCTTAAAGCTCGTACGGTTTACTGTGTACAGACAAGTGCAGAACCCGACCTCCTGCATGAAGGATCATGTGCGGGTGGTTTGCTGCCAAGAAGGGCTAGCACCTCATCAAATAGAAAATCATCGGCCTCAGGAAAGCATGTGGGGGAAGAGCCACCAAATACCCTGCTGCTGCTAAGCCTGTCTCCAAAACAAGGTGACATATGTAAATTACTTTAGAAAAATAAAGTCGAAAAGTCTTGATAATAGTGCAGTCTAAAGTATTATCAATTTTGATCTACACTAAACAGACTTCAGAGGAATAAAATGAGAAAAAAAAATCAGATGAACATGTTGATCACCAGTAGTGGCAATAGTTTATATCACTGATCTGGGAGATAGTCATAAAAATAAACTGTGTGTGTGTGTAATATTAAAGCATAGTCTTTAATACTGTGCGTTTTACTTCCTTTTATTTGAGCAGACAAACTTATCTTGTATAACATGTATTAAGATAGCATACTTATCTGTATCTCTCAAATGTTGGCGAAATCACCAGACTGCCTTTGTATATGGTTTTATGTAGTACCGCCTATGGAAGATTGTAAGGAACAAGAGCCTATTATGGACAACAATATTTCTCTGGTGCCTTTTGAGAGACCTGCTGTCATAGAGAAGCTCACGGCAAATATGGGAAAGCGCAAAAGCTCCACTCCACAGAAGTTTGTGGGTAAGCAGCACAGATGGATGATGCCATACCTGGTAACTGTGACGGAAAAAACAAAACAACAAAACATGATGCCATGTGTTAGACCTACGAGTGGTGTGTTCCGTGATATGAGAAAATATCCATGTCCTTGCTCCATCATTCTCTCCCACTCTATAACACACCACACACACACACACACACACACACACACACACACACACACACACACACAGCCTTAGGCACATGACAAAGGATTAAAGGATATTGACTAGATAGTAAGCACCATGTCAACATGCAATGATATATAAAGTGAGATTATACGGTAAAGCGAACATGTTATTTTAATTCGTACTGAATCAGAAATGAGATCTAAAGTACCGCTCACATGTGTGGTATCTTTTCATTTCTATTAGTGTCAGCTCTTTTGGCTGTTTAGTTTCTGATATTAATTCTCTGCGTATTTGATCTAGAATTAAAAGACACTTTAAGTGTTCCCCAACTTTGTCTTCAAAAAATAATGTAGCAGTGTCCATCTAAAATGTTTCTTACGTGGGTCTGTACCGTGTGTTTTGATCCTCATTTTTCATCCAGCCTATGATTTTTTGATCTGAAAAGATGAAGAATCATGTGTGTAGACTTCACCTTTCATTTCCAAGTATTTAGCTGTTCTCTGGTCTGTCCAGTGTTGGCTGGCATCACTCTTCATCTATGCTGTGTGTTCTAGGCCATCTCTGAGGACAGAGGGTCTTGCCCTTTTTAAAGGATGTATGAATTAGAGAGTTTCAGTAGAAAGAATTCTTAAAGAACCATCATTTCTCATATATGTAATATCTCTTTTCTGATAGTGATATGATTAAAGAAGAGGTAAAACTATTAAAACAGGTTCTCACATTCTATCACCAGAGAACTTGGTAGGATACCCTTACTAAGCAGTGGCGGCTAAAAACTAGCCTTTTCCTTGGTTATTCAAGGAAGCTATGAGAATTCTGTTGCTCCAGTAAAACCTTTGGAAGGCTTCTTTTGAATTTGAAGTAGAGAACTAGCAAATCACTTGTCACAGTAAGACTAACTGAAGGGATTTAGTGAGCACCTATAAGGCAGGCTAAAGGATGAGCCCAAGAGCTATGCTTTATATGAAGTTCAACACCCTAGATTGTGCTCAGTGACCCAGGGTGGCAGCTTTCCTTCCTGTTCCTTTTTTTTTTTTTTGTTTTGTTTTGTTTTGTTTTGTTTTGTTTTGTTTTCTTGGTTTTTCGAGACAGGGTTTCTCTGTGTAGTTTTGGTGCCTGTCCTGGATCTCACTCTGTAGACCAGGCTGGCCTCGAACTCACAGAGATCCGCCTTGCTCTGCCTCCCGAGTGCTGGGATTAAAGGCGTGTGCCACCACCGCCCAGCCTTCCGGTTCCTTTTTAAAGGTGTCTGTGAACAGAAGAGAGGTGGCAGTTCATTTATTTATTTTGTCTTACGTTTTATTTAGTTTTTATGTAGGTACTTTTTTTAGACCATGTCTCACTCTTAACTGCACTCAAGTTCACAGCAATCCCTCTGCCTCTGCCTGCTATGTGCTAGTGTTGCAAGCATGAGATACCATGTCTAGCTCTTCATTTAGTTTAAAAAACGATTAGTTTGTGAGATAAATATTCAATTCTAACTGACTGCTAATGTAGTCGGAAAGTACAGTTTACTATTATTTCTAACTTCCGAATTTATTCCATCACAGTTTGTGTTCCCCTTGACTCAGAAATACGACCTTCTTCTGTTTGTTTTGTTTTGTTTTGTTTTGTTTTTTTTGAGACAGGATTTCTTTTAGCCCTTTGCTACCTGGAACTTGCTGTGTAGATCAGGTTGGCCTTGAACTCAGAGATTCCCCTTCCTCTGCCTTCCAAGTGCTGGGATTCCTCAAAAGAGGATTTTATAAAACTACAATGTTATAAAAAATATTTTTTAATACATATTTTAAAAATTATATTTTTTATTTAAACTTGATTTTTCTTAATTTGGAATACATTCTGGTAATATACAGCAAACAGTAGCTACATCAGTTGAGTAACTCTTTCTATGATTTCTCTTAAAATGGAAATTTTCATCATTTCAAACTTAGCCGGACCCCTCTTCACCTGCCCCTCAGTTAAACCCGGCTGTTTGACCTACTGCATTCTCCAGGCAGGGATTCCTGAAGTTATGCTTGTCTGTCTGTCTCTTCTACCCTTCTTTATGCAGCTTAGATTTCATGCTTCATCCCTTTTACGACTGTCCTGCCAGCAGTATTCTTGACTCTCTTGCCTGGTTGTCCTACTTCTCCCAGTGACATCTCACTGCCCCATGAGTCAGACTCAACATCCTTTCCACACTCTGTCTGAGCTACCAGTAAGTGGTTCTGGTGAAGTTCCTACAGCCTTGTGAATGACTGCCACCACAGGTAAATGTGTAATTGAACTGAAATACCAGACTGCCCAACCAAAGCACGGGGTGACATTGCTTTAATATATCCCTGGATAGCCTTCTCTCCCACTCTCCATCAGGGCCATTTTCCACATGGCTCTACTCTCTACACACTTGGTATGTCTGTCCTTGGAGATCTTCTATCTATAGTCTTGGGGAGCAAATGAGATGATTTCACTATTCTATCTCCAGTGCCGTAGGGCTGTAGGCATCCATGTAAATACTTCACGTCTTTCCCCTCTTACAGTGGAAGAAGCATCCCTCTTTCTGATTCAGATTACTTCCTGGGGTTTGTGCTCCTGAATTCTCTGTCCTGTCCTCACACTGCTTCTATCTTTCTCCCTTTCCTATCTGCACTTCATGAGAAATTCTGATAAGTTCCACCACAACCTCTGCTCGGCCCCCAGGCTCCATCTGTATACTAGAACCTGCTTTCTCCTCTCCAAAGGTGGAATTCCCAGTGCCTCCTTCCCATGCTTTCCTTCCTTCTACTCATTTTCCAGTGCATGCAACCTCAACCTGGCTTTCTAGTTTAGGCTACCCTGAAAGTATTCTCTTGGAGGCTACAACCTATTTGCATGATTCTGAGCCCAGTGAGCCCTTTTTAGACAGTGTCCTACACAGACATCCTAAAGAGCATCTGCCACTATTGGAATCTTAAATTCTTCTGAAAAACACTCTTCCCTTGGTTTCTATAACATTTCTCTCTCTCCTTTTCTTCCAGCTTCTCTGTTTCTCCTCACAAAACTGTACACTTGTATAGAATTCTGAAGAGTACCCCACCAGATCTTGGGAGTGAGAACATAATTGCCCCATGGAAGACCTATTCTTGTTTCTTTGCATTTTCACAATATCTATCTCTCTCTCTCTCTCTCTCTCTCTCTCTCTCTCTCTCTCTCTCTCTCTCTCTCTCTCTCTCTCTCTCTCTCTTTCATAAGTACCCCTACCTGTCCATACAAGTTCCACAGAGACAATCAGATGCTTTCTAAGGATTGGCCTAGGCACATGCTTCCCAGTAGCAAAGGAGGTACAGACCTGGAAAGACACTCAGAAACTGCTATTGGAGAATGTCTGGGGTCCTTGTACAGAAAAAAGTGAAGCCTGCATTCTCTGGCATTATAAAATCCTCATTCTATGAGGAGCAGGGCCAGAGGCCTTCTAGATACGCTCTGAAGTGTAAGAATCCAGCTTGGCTCTGTCTGTTGACTTAAAAGAATTTTCCAAACACTCTTCTTGACCTTTTCTTCAGTTTACCCTTGGCAGAGTGATGCTATCAGCTGCCATGCTTCTAGAGTTGCCCTCTATCACCCGAGGCCGTTCTGTATCTTACACCCAGATACCTCCTCTGAGGACTTACCAGATATACCTGTTACACGTATTGATCCGCAAACCGAAGCGATTCCTTTTTCTGTCTTGCTGTCATCCACTCCATTTTCCAAGACTGAACTACAGTTTCCAAGACTGGAAACTCAGCTTCACGCTTCCCTTTCATATGATCTCTGTCTAGATAAACACTAAGGCCTAGTAACAGTATTCGGGAAATCGCTGTCCATTCCATGAACCCTTCCCCGTTGGTAGCGCCGCTACACTTCTCCAACCTCACTGCAGCAACATTGGGAATCCTCTTGTTGAAGGAGCATCATATCAGGCCATGTTCCCTATTTAAATACTGCAAGCCGCAGTGCTCTCGGGATAAAATCCCTCCCTCTCCTGCTGTGTGTTTTCTGACTCGTTTTAGTCATCTGTTTCCACTTTCAGCCATGTTGAAATGTAATTGCTTATTTCTAAGTCATCTCCTCATACTTCTAAGCCTTTCTGCCTGCAACTCCTCCACCTCCATGCTTTACTAACCAGTGTCTGCTCTCCAATTCTCCCCCTGAGGTCTTTCCAGAAGGCTTCCTTTACTCTTCTTATACAAGTTAGATCTACCTCTTATTTGAGCATAAAATACAGTCTAAGCGCTCCATCTCTAAATTCTAAGCTCTTTGAGAGCATGGGTCAGATTTATTTAGCTTAACTTTGAAATTCTTTAAAGTTTAATATCATTTTGTTGTTTGTTTTTGCTTTTTGGTTGGTTTGTTGTTGTTGTTGTTGTTTTGTTTTGTTTTGTTTTGTTTTTCTGAAACAGGGTTTCTTTATGCCCTGGCTGTTTTGGAATTCTGTAGAGCCATAGTCTAGACCAGGCTGGCCTTGAACTCAGTGATCCCTCTGCTTCTGTCTCCTAAATGCTGGGATTAATGGTGTCTGCCACCACACCTGGCTCAATATCTTAAATTGGATGTCAGGAGGTGATTTTTTTTCTTCAGTTGTTTTTATTACTCCATCATTACCTCAATCAACTTTTAGGCTAGTTCTTTTAGTTTAGTTTTGTTTTGTTTTTTTGATATAGGGTTTGATGAAGGTTTCTGTCTGTAGGCTTGGCCAGCCTGGAACTCACTCTGTAGACCAGGCTGGCCTCAAATTTAGCAATCTACCTGCCTCTGTCTCCCAAGAGCTGGGATTAAAAGTGTGAGCCACCACCTCTTGGCAAGGCTATTTCTTCAAATCTGAAATAATACTAATGTTTTAATGCTGCCACTTCTAGCATTATGTGAATCTATCATCACTACAGATTAGGCCTTTACACACAACATACTATAACATACAACCACATACTATTTTAAGAAGCTTTATCTGTTAGTTTTCCTTCTCAAAGTAACTAGATGAGCACTGCATGTTTTTAATGGCAGAACTGTTAAAAGGTGAACTACTCTGCCAAATAGGAATATTGCTTTTTTTTCTATTTGAAGCCCCCAAACTGCTTTATGGTTAATATTCAGACCTTGTATTGAAATACAATTACTGGGGAAGATTTTAATTTTTTTTCAAGACAAGGTTTCTCTATGTCGTTTTGGTGCCTGTCCTGAATCTCGCTCTATAGACCAGGCTGGCCTCACAGAGACTCACAGAGATCTGCCTGGCTCTGCCTCCCGAGTGCTGAGATTAAAGGCGTGCGCCATATTAAAGGAGAAACAATATAGTTCAAACAAGAAAAAGCAGTGAGATTAACAACAGGCATACAAAGTTATCATTGTCACACATCTGGACATATCTGGTGTAAAAGTCAAAAGTTGCCATTTCCAAGAAACAAAACTTAAATACTTTTCAACTTTGTGAACAAGTATTTTTTCGAAGTAATCCTTGATACATTATTAAGTAGCTTTTAATTCCACTTCTTTTATCAGGCGATACAGCTTTCAAACCACTTGAATAATAATTGTTTACATTCTCCTGCCTGATCTCTATCGACTCTATAGCTTTTCTTTCCTAAAGTAGTAGTTAAATTAGCGAAATTATCCCTGCTCAAGAATGTAGCTGCATAGACAGCATGGGCCATAAGCAGATTCCGTATGCTTGCCCGGTCTCCATAGTTCGTTCACTCTGTTGGAGATATGCAGGAATGGGCACAGGTTCTGATTTATTTTCACCGGGCATGTATTCTTTCTCTTGTGATCCTGAGCACCTTGCAAATGAACATTTTAATAAAAATTAAAAATAAGATAAAAAGCTTTCAGGCTGGCTGCATTTCTGTGATGGCATTAAAGCCAGTGCAGATGGTTTGTGACAAATTCCTTTGGCATGGCCACAGTCCCTGGGCATCTCGACAGAATTGAAAGAGCCCAAACACTTGACCTAAAGAGTAAAATAGCACCATTGGTGTAAAATGGAGGAAGTGTTTGGTTAACTTTGTACGTTCTCATATTTTAATCCATCCACTAATTTTGTTGTGTTTCTTTTTCTTTTCTCTTCCTCCTCCTTTTTTTTTTTTTAATTTTAGGGGAAAAGCTCATGCGATTCAGCTACCCAGATATTCATTTTGATATGAACTTAACGTATGAGAAGGAGGCTGAGCTGATGCAGTCTCATATGATGGACCAAGCCATCAACAATGCAATCACCTACCTTGGAGCTGAGGCCCTTCACCCTCTGATGCAGCATGCACCAAGCACAATCGCCGAGGTGGCCCCAGTGATAAGCTCAGCTTATTCTCAGGTCTACCATCCGAACAGGATAGAAAGACCCATGAGCAGGGAAACGTCGGATAGTCACGAAAACAACATGGATGGCCCCATCTCTCTCATCAGACCAAAGAGTCGACCCCAGGAAAGAGAGGCCTCTCCCAGCAATAGCTGCCTCGATTCTACTGACTCAGAAAGCAGCCATGATGACCACCAATCCTACCAAGGAAACCCTGCCTTAAATCCCAAGAGGAAACAAAGCCCAGCTTACATGAAGGAGGATGTCAAGGCTTTGGATGCTGCCAAGGCCACCAAGGGCTCTCTGAAGGACATCTATAAGGTTTTCAATGGAGAAGGAGAACAGATAAGGGCCTTCAAGTGTGAGCACTGCCGAGTCCTTTTCCTAGACCATGTCATGTACACCATTCACATGGGTTGCCATGGCTACCGGGACCCACTGGAATGCAACATCTGTGGCTACAGAAGCCAGGACCGTTACGAGTTTTCATCACACATTGTTCGAGGGGAGCACACATTCCACTAGGCCTTTTCATTCCAAAGGGGACCCCTCTGAAGAACTGCACATGAAGAAATACTGCACTTACAGTCCCACTTTCCCTCAGACGGTGACATACTTTCTTCTTAATACCGTCACTGTCTATGATTCTTACTTTGTGGACAAAATGTCATTTGCTCTGCCTAATTATAAAAAAAAAAAAAAGAAATGAGAGAAAAGGGATGGGATGTTCACTGATAACTTGGCTTGTTTATTTTGTGGGTGTAAAGCAGTTGATTTCTGCCATGCATCCCTATTAAGGCCTGTCATGCTTTGGGAAATCATTTGTTTCATAGAGATTCACCTAAAATATTCTGATTTGCCATTGATGTTCAGGATTGTGATGGAAGGCAGGAAACGTGAGAGTTTTCTGGGTCGGACTTGGGCAATTTAAAACAGTCTAAGTAATTTTCCTCTCAAAGGTGTTTCAAAATGTAAACCCATTTTATTTGCTGTTCTTAGAGATCACGGAACACAAACACATTATTATCTTCAATAACTCCTAGGATGAGTTGAATTGTTGTGGGTTCTACGTTTACCTCCCCTACGGAATTTATAATTCAGTATGTTTTACACTGTATCATATAGTAAAACTTTTAAACTACAGGAAGTTAAGGGCCACTACGATACATCTGAGGTCCTTTGATCTTATTTTTCTAAACTTGCGCACTGTTTTTCCATAGTTTTGATGACTGGCATTTTATAGACACCCTGGCAGCCTTACTTTTAACACCTGTAACAAATAGTATTTTTATGTAGTTTTCAGAAAAGCATGTGGTCTAAGAGTGGGTAAGAGGCAGTCAGTAATTTCCAGGAAGAATTCTGCTTTTCACAATTTGAGATTTTTTTTTTTTAAAGTTGTATTGTGATGGCAGCCTAGTATACATATTTGTTTCTCAAGGTGTGTTTACGATCGTCACTTTATCAGCATTTAAACAGTGTTAAGCAGTCAGCAGAAAAGTGTAATTAGGCTAACAGTAGGGGGAAAAATCCCACTCTGAGAACCCTTTTCTGGTATTTTTCTTCAAGCTGTGACCACTCAGTGTTCTGTCCATAGTCCATTCCTCTTTGACTCTTGGAATAGAAGGTCTTAAGAAGCCTGGCTATCGGCTGCTTCTTTCAAAATCTTGGAGCAACTGCTAATTGGACCTGAATGTGGTCATTTGAACCCTGGAAGGTCATCCATTAACGAGGGCTATTTATTCCACTACTTCTTCAGTAATAACAGTTACTACCTTTGCTGCAGAGGAAAGGGAACTTCTTTGCAACCAGAAGATCACACTGCAGGTCCAACAAAAGAGCAACCAAGTTTTCTTTTACCCTTCTTGGAGTTGAAAATGTGACAGTCTTCAGGGGAAGGACCTGCACTTAAAAAAAAATTTTTTTTTTAAAAAATCAGTTCTGTTAAGTTCTTGTCAGACATGAATCTCAATCCATTGGTAGAGAATTTTCTGTCTTCTCTTTGTTTGCACAAGTCATGTACTTCCATATTTCATGGGCAGGTTTGAAGTTGATCTCTGTGGGTGCTTGGCTTCCTCTCTGGAGAGTGCACTGGCATTTGTGGGTGGGGCTGGAGCACACTATTCTCAAGTCATCTGGCAGAATGCTTTTGGCAGTCATAACGTGCTGCTTGTCTTTGAGGAAAGCAAGCCTGACCATGACTGGATTCTCTGACAGCCATTTGTAAATGCTGAAGGTCTGCTGAACAGTGACAAATAGCTGCTCCGAGGGCCTACCTTAGAATAGGATGCTGAAACCACGTAACTGCAGAGTGACGTGGACAGTGTCAAGACTCAAGAACTACCCACGGATGAGCAGTGTTCTCCTAACTCGCTTTGCAGATTTCCATCTGTTCACTTAAGGAACTTCCTAGCTCTAACATAGCTAGTGCTCGGTAGAAAAAGTTCTGACTTACCTCTTTTACTAATGCTTACCTTAGTTATTTCTGGAGAAATGTCCAAATGGTTCCTTTACATGTAAGAAAATGAACCCAAACAGAGAGAAAGCGAATGCCAACCATGGGGTTTTCCATTTTTTGATTTTTTTTTCATCCCCTGGTAATTTGTGAAAACACAGTTTACTCAGGGATAAAGCGTCTAGTCAAGACTCCCTTACCCCCCCCCCCACTTTCCCGGCACACTCTGAAATCATGATGGAAATGGCATTTATGTTTGAATGAGACGAATAGTGTTAAGGCTCATGATTTTGTGTTTTAAAACTGCAATTTAACAAAGCATTTGGATGCCTGTCAATGTGTTCATAATTTTGGCTGTCTGAATTTCTGCTGGCATCCTTTATCAATCTTCTTCATTCTCTCTCCTCATACCTACTGTATTAATGATCATGTATCTCCCTGCACTAGGATTAAACTGAGTTTAGGTGTACATAAAGATTTGTGTACTCCCCCTATGAAGATGGTTACTAACATACTCTCTACTTTTCCAATTCCATCTTACTGGAAAACCTGATTTATTTAAGGGAGTTAGCTGTGATGGTATATTTGCTGGACATACACACTAGCTTTTTTTTTTTTTTTTTTTTGTAAGATGCATGACACAAGGGACAGAAAAAGACATAGATGGCTCAGGTGTGACAGGGACAAAAGAGATCAAGGTGAATTCAACATTTGTGGGTTACAGTGAATTTTGTGGACAAAGTGCTGTCTGAAGGACTCTCGATGACTTTTCACCAAAGACTATATGTGACGTGTAGCACCTAACACTAAGTGGGAGAGCCAGATACCAAATAAATCAAATTTGCCTAACAGTTACAAGCCCTGTTGATTTAGGTGAGATTTTACAATTGAGAGCATATTTTGAGGGGGATGAAAATGGGTTATCCTCTGTTTTCCAGTTGGGCAGAAATTTATCAGATGACTCTGTCCTCATTTTGCCCGGAATTTTTTTTTGTCCCCAGTTCTTCCTGGAGAAACACGCCGTCTCTCTGTAATAGTGATGAATTGCTGTCACCTAGGCTTTTTAGAACAGTGGCCGGAACAGCAAGCAGAGAGAGGCACGAAACACCAGTCCAACATTCCGTTTAGAATCTTCTGAATCAAATGGGGAAAATGAGGGCTGATTATTTAGGATGAAGTAACCTAGCCGGCTGGCGTGCATACGTACACGTGCCTGTTGGAATACATTACAGTTGGCAGGCCATGTGTGTTGCACATTCTTTGAATGAGGAGTCATGAAAAGAAGCAGATAGCATCCCCCAGATGTGTTCCAAACCTTAGAGTTAAAAGTACGGTTAATACATCAGCACTTAGGTCGACTTGACCAGGTTGTACTAAGAAATCCTGAAATTGTCAGTGTATCTTTAGGGCTAGTGGCAATTTCTATCCCAAGTCTCCATTATCTACATCCAGGGAGGAAAAAAATGAGAAGATATTAAGTTGACTGGTGAAATATTGAAGAAATATAGCTTTTTTTTTTTTTTTTGAGAGGAAGAAAAGGCAGGAAATGATTTAGCAACTTTGTCTTGTATTTGTGCTTTTGGTGGCACCGTTACACATCTCACAAGACCTTGACTTTTGTGTGTTTCATATTTTGACTTCGTGCTTCCCATGTCTTACTTCATCTTATCTCCAAAATGGTAAGTTATGGTAGAAAGATTAGTAGAGGAGGCGGACCTAGACCAGGAAAGCTGCCTGCCCCTAGATTCAGGACTATCGAGGATGCCTGGCTACACAGTTTTTTTCAGCCTTGAATTATTCATTTATAATAAAATTGTAGGTTTGTGGTCATCTCCAGTTGAAGTTCATGTGTTATTTTAACAAGGGCTGCCTGTATGTATTCTACAGTAAAAGCTCCCCATATTCAAAAGGGAAAAAAAGCGAGGGGTAAATTTAAGCTTTGTATATATAAAAATTATTTTATAAATATTTTAGTCTTCCAGTTTCTGCAAAATAATTAAAATATACAGTAACTGGTCTCTTAAATCCTGAATTTAATGTATTAAATACTTATACAATTTTATATTGGTGCCTTTTAAAAATGCATTGAGAGTGTTGGTTAGCTGTTTTAGCTGTACCACACTTTTACTGTGTATTTTTTAAAAAAAAAAAAAAAATCACATGAAATTTAAGTACTCTCTAATTCACCTTTGTGTTCTTAGCAAAAATAATAATGATAAGAATAACTGCTAAAAGAATTTCCAGACTTTCAGCTGAGCTGGCAAAAGTGACAGGAAACTTTGAAACCAGATTTTAATCTTTTTAGCTTAATAATATTTCTGAACATTATTATATGATAGAGGAAAAAGGAAAGCAGAGTCATGTCAGCAGCAAACTGAATTATGCTGTGTGTTTTGCTTTATTCTTGAGGAAGAATAGGTTTTGCGTCACACAGGGTTTCTTCGTAGAATTTGGAGTCAATAATACAGTATTGTTTTGCATTTTCTTTTCTCCTTGACTAGTGTTAACTCTAGTCCTGGATCCTCTGTCTTCTAACGAGTGGTTGTTTTATGAAATAATGTGGAAATGCAGACCATTGTTTCCCTTGAACAAAACAAAACTCAGCACTCACGTCACATTGCTCTTCTCCAAAGTGTCCTCTCGGATATTTCGTCCGGAGGTTGTCTGTCACTTGTGAGGGTGTCTTCGACTATGACAGCTTTTTAAAAAAAATGAGCTGCTGGTTGTATAAAGTAGACATCACGTGACCAAGAAGCTGTGATATGCTAGTGTTTCCTTCTGTCATAGTATATTCTTAGGCCAAATTAATGACACATTGAATATTTTTACATTTATTAAAATTTTGGGATTTCCACAAGGTTTTTATGTAACCTATTTCTAGGGGTTTTGTTTTCTCTTGCTGTACTGTGAGTTTGTGGGTATTTTTTCACATGCACTCTTAGAAAGGAGTTCTTACTTCTATTTATGATGTCTTTTTCCCACAGTACTCCATTTGTATATGTTCTGTACAAATTTGTCATAAATTCACCTTTATCCCATATAAACAGTGGTACGTAAACAACTAGTTTCCTAAGATGACTTTTATATTATGAATTAATATGAAAATGTAGAAGTCATATGCTAAGCCACATTAAGGACAGAATAGAAACGTCCAGTAGGTACAAATAAGCCAGTTTGCAGAGTGAATCAGGCCTTCAGTTTACCTCACCTAACACATAACAAGGAAAGCTTGGACAGATGGAGGTCACTGAATACCCTACTATGCACTTACTAGGTGATCGCTGAGTTTCATTTACTGGAAATGGATTTTAAAAGGAATATACTGTCACTGTAACCAGAGAAGGAATCTAGGGTTTGCTATATTTTTTTGTTGTTGTAGTTGTTTTGTTCTTTTTAAAAAGTTGTTCAAATTATGAAACTGTGATCTAAAAAAGTTGTGATGGTGGAGCACTTGAAATTTTGTACATCGATCACGTGCCCTTCTGTATGACAAAGTTGGCTTTTTACCTCTTCAGTTGTAACTTCCTCTCACACCTTTGTCTCCACACTGTTCACAGTCCTTCCTCCATTGTCTCTGGATTCTTGACGCTCCTCATAGTTGGAAGAGGAGGTCCGCTCTGAACTTCTGATTCATTAAGTCTTAATTTTTTCCCGGTAGTTTCTCTTAGCTGTATAATCTGCTGGTGTATTTTTATATTCACGTGTAGTTCTATATTTTTAATGTGTGGTTGGGTTGAGACGGGAAGCTGTAGAGTCCTTACTTTGCCTCATTCTCAAGTATGAGGCCCCTAACCTGGCTCCTGAGACTCTATAGTCAGAGGCTATGTCTGGTTCCTTTACGCTTGGAGTTTAAAATTGTTTGGCTTTCTTCTAAAATACAAGTTATAAAGAATAGCTACCCCCCCCCCCCGCCCTGCAAAACAAAACAAAATGCTTAGAAAGAAGATAAAAATGTAAAGCAAAGAGTCTTAAGTTTCTTCCAATTAAGAGGATGAGTGCTTTAAAAGTTCTGCAGTAATATTCCAGGCTCGGAAGGGGTCTCGAGGCCCCATGCTTGCTCAAACGGTCCAGCCTTTGAGACTGTGTGTCATTTGCCGTTTCAGAAGGGTTACTTCTGCTATCCAGAAAAGTGCAATACCCCTCTTGAAGTCTTAAAAACTATGGTAATTTTTTTCTTTTCCTGACATTTCTTCTTTAAAAAAGAACCGTTGGAAATTTAGCATGTCAAAGGACATAACAAACAAGGATGAAAACCACTATCAAAAATTAGTAACTGTAGAAACACATGACGTTTCTGACTTCCTGGAAGCTTCCTTTAGCCTAAATAACCTTTGAAATCATGAGTGAGAAGTATATCCTGAAGCAGAAATCTGAACAGACTGAATTTTTTTTCTCCCACTCTTACCTAATGTTCTTAAGTTAAAGAACTAATATTTAATGTTTTTATTTTTCTTCCTTCTGGAAAATAAATATCAAAGCACTTAGGTCAGGTTTCAATCCATATTACCTGTTGAAGAAAAAATTTTAAATATTTGAAGCAGACCTGCTTTCATGCAGTTTGAGAAATATCTTTTGTATCATCCATATTTATATGTAGTTTGCTGTTTTCTTTTTCTTTTTTTTAGTACCTTTGTTCCCGTGATAAAACTGCTGTAATGTAAATACATGTTTTGTTTAAAAGTAACATTTCTTTGGCATTTCTTTTGAAGGCATTTACTGCATTTGTACAGTATGTGTCTTGGCTACTTAACTTTTTTTTCTTTAACAATACCAAAGGTAATTAGACTATTTTAAGGACTAATTGCTTGACAGTTTCTAGAATACTTTGATTTTTTTTTTTAGAAGAAAAAAGAAAAAAAAATCAAACCAGTAAACCTCATTTTTTCAAACTAATAATTTGGGGAAATAAAAACTATTGTTTAAAAAGAAATATATATATAAATATCTGTAAAATTAAAATTCCAGACCTTGTATGTCAGGTTTGCTCAGTGTAATGTAGGGGGTTTTGTTTTTGTCTTTGTTGTTGTTTTTTTTTTAAGGCTCAAATACCTCAGAAAATGGGGTTTACTGTGGAAATACTGCAGCAGTCTGCAGCTGTGTGAGCTGGCACTCTGCTGCGTACTGATTGGGAGACCTCCACTGAACAGTTTTATCACTGCAGACTGAAATGCGGGACTTGCGTTTTCTTTGTTTTTAATTCACACACATCCACGCTCTGTGCGTGTGCGTGGGTCCTGTGTATCTGTGTGTGAGTGTTGTATGTGCATGTGTGGATGTGTGTGTGTGTGCGTGTACAACTCAAGAAGCTGCAGAAACTTTGTAATACTTTGTGAAAGGGTTATATTATAAAGGTTTGTACTGTCTGAGTGCACAGCTACTGGAATAAACTTAGCCAATCTCAGGAACAAGCATATAATTTGTCCAAGATTTATTTCTTCTCAGAAGTGTAAGTGCAGTTTTTAATTCTGTATATTATTTAATATTTTACCAATAAAATAAACTTCTGACAGAAACTGTTTGTTATAAAAACTTTGTTGAAAATTCTGTACACGAATACATCCCTCCAGTCGCCGAAGACTGAACTGCTGCATAGTGACTTGGTCATGGCCATTGTTTGTGTGTGTCTCGGTCCTGTCCCAGAGCTCTAATGTGTGTGATGTCATTGGCCCTCCACCTTAGATGTTAGCTGCTCCCCAGCACTCTGTAGAGTCTACTGTGGCAGAGAACAAGGTATCACATAGGATGACATCTCTATGCTTTGGGTAATTTCTCTCATGTAATTAACCTGTTTTTAACCTTTAAAATCAATCTAAGATATCTCCATGTCAGAGCTGCACTGCTTGTTCTGAAGGACATCATTCATATGGAAAGAAAAATGTAGCTTGCTCCAGATTACCACTGAGTAACACACGTGGTTCATGCTTTGGTCACTAATCACATCATAAACTGGCATTCCTTAGTAGTCAGAACAGAATAATAGCAATTAAAACATTGCGGAGTAAGTGATAGATTGGTCATAGCATTGGAGTAGATTTGATTGCTAGCTCCGCTTTGTGTAGCTCTACCCCTCATGCCTCAGATTGCATAAGGACTGTATCTTTTCCATGAGAAGATTGTTCTATTACAAAGACAATTCCCAAGTAGAATTCTAAAAGGGGCCAGATGACTGGAAATTTATTTTACTTAGCTTTAGCTATCTGCTTAGCTCCTGTGCCAATTTATAAAGTCCCACACACATTTGAGATAGCTGTTAAATTTTCATTGGTACATATTTACAGAATCTGTGGATATTTGCAATAGCTCTCCATAAATTCCCTTCCATATGTCACACGGAATGAGAGAGAGCACAAATTCAGATGAACACATATAACCTAGACCAGAGCATCTTTCAAAATAGAAGCCTACGGCTGGAGAGGGTGAATGGGAAAGAGCAAGCAGAAGAAACTTAGCAAAGTACTACTAGTACTAGGGTTAGAAAGGGCTTTTCTCTATCAGAAATGTTAGGCTCTGGTTTATCTATTAACAAGAGCCATTTTTTAATTGAACATCCCTTATGTTCTTGAATCTCGTTGAAATCCAGTCAGAAGTAAGATGACATCTTGATATGCTAATACGTTATCAACATGCTCAAGCCAAAGGCCCCATCTTGAGATCGTGAGGGACAGGTCACATGATGAAGCAATTTCACAGAGTGTTTTAACCATGTCCCTTCCTGATGTTTGTGCCCTAAGTGTCAACAAAACCCAAGCGAAGCCCCAAAAGAAGTTCCCAGTGTTCTTTTATTTTTATTCATCTTAATTTGACAGGTAGTCTTTCACAATACCTAAGGGAGGTGTTTGCCTAAACTTTCTATTGGGCAAAAAGGAAATAAAGTCATTTGGAAGCCCACAAGCCATGTACAATTGGATAAAGGTGGGGGAAAGTCCAAAGAGAGGGTCACTCTGAGAAAGATCAGCATGCCAGCCTCATTATTTCTTCTTCCTGTGCCTTACACTCTTGGGTGATGTCTCCCATCAGACCAATTGCTTTTAGCTTTGACTTTACCAGGCAAAATATAAGCCCCTCAAAATAGGAAAAACAGATACTGTCCAAACTGGTGTTGAGATGTTTATTCTAGAAACCCTTAGAAGAGCTGTTTGAACATGACTTTCAGACCAACTGGGATGTCAATGAAGAAGCTGGATGTTTCAATTGTTTCAATGCTCCAGGAAAATACAAAGGTAAAGAGGGGTAAGGTAAAGGTGTTTAGGCTGGGGTCTGCTGCAGCTTAGGCGAGCCTACGATAGAAGAGGAGTGTTCTGCTCTGCGTTGTCCTGTTACTTTATCAGATGATGTTGGAGTCAGACTCAGCCAGCTCTACCAAGAATGCTTAGTGAACAGCTTAATGTGAAAGTCGGGACTGGCAACAGTGTCCATACCTAGGTCAATGACCTAGACCCAATTGTTGGTTCTGAGGATAAAAGCCTAAAGGATTCTGATTCATGACGACATTTTTTTTTTAATGATGCCAAAGTGTCCAAATCTAATACTCACTTTTTAAAATGAGCAAGGAGTAACTCAGGATATTTGGTTGTTGAGGTAGTGAAGGTGGATTCATCATGCCTTGGAAATGGGATGTGCATGGTAGGAAATGAGTGGCTGTCTTTCTTTTTTCTTTTCCTTTACTGTTTTTCCCCTCTTTCTTCTTGGTTTCTCTGCATCAAACCTGTTTTTTTTTTTCTCTTCTATAGAATCTGTCATGATTGTTTTCTGAGTGCTCTCCGTGACCCTGTCACAATTTTGATTAACTACTCTGAAACACGGTCTATTTCAACAACGTGAATGATTTTGTGCAATTAGATGTATGCAAGTTCTAACCAGATCCTTTCTGGTAAGTGCTTTACAAATGAGCACAATTATCACTGGCTTGTCCTAAGTCCCTTTCACATTACCTGTGGAAACTATATACTATCTGCTAGTAACTTTCATTTTATTGGCAAGGAAACAGAGTTCAGATCAATTATGGTTGGTTGGTTTGTTCATTTTATAAATATCCAAAATCAATCACAAGACTAAAACTGACTCTGATTCTAGAAACATGTAGTACAGTATTTTGTTTCCTGAACCAATTTGTTCAGAATTTGATGGGCAAACTCTGTTAATAAAGGGAAGGAACCAATTTTGCATAGTAGTAGCTAGCAAAATAATAATAATAGTAATAATAATAATAATAACCAACAGAAATAACTTAGTGTTCTGCTCATTCTGATTTTTAAACAGAATAAGCCCAGTTGAACTCATTGGCACAGTCAATGTGGAGGATAAGGAGGGGCACTGAGAAATACAGTACTAAGTTGCAAAGAAAAAAATAATCTGAAATTAAAATTTTACTAAGGCAGATTTTGAAATTTAAAATCTTGGGAGTTTTAAAATTGTGCAATAGGTTTTCTAGCAGACCTTTCACTTAATTTTAATTAATGTGCATTTTTTCTAATTGTCTTTGAAATTTTCTTCCCAGTTGATGAAATTACTTATCACTGGGTTCCTATCGTCGAACTCATTTCTTTTACCATAGGACTTAAATTTCCAGGCTTCGGCTTGGCTGCCTTATTCCTTTCCAGTTAAAAACCTTGAACCTAGCCTGGTAAGAATGTAGGAATTCACCAGAAGCTATGCCCATGAGAACCAAGTGTTGCAGCGCTGGAGTTTGCTGACTGGGCATTGTGGGTATTCCTCACAGGTGTTCAAACCTCTCTACCAAGTTATGATCTTGCTGTTAGTTTTAAAGCATAAAGTATCCTAACATCCACCTCCATCTGTTTGCATTACGAACCGAGTGATATATTTATCATCCAATTCAGCCTCCTCTTATCTCTTCCTAGGAATGAGACAAATACTGCCACTTGGACATTCCTGACTTTGATCTGGAAATTGCTGCAGTCTTCCAGAAGGGTTGCTAGAGCCACACCTACCACTGTGTCTTCCTTGTCTTTTACAATCTTAGTAAGTAGCCTCATTTTTGGCCTTCAGAGAGTCTATTCTTTTTTTTTTTTTCCCAACACCTCCCTTCACTGTTTACTTATTTATTTATTTATATCAGATTGTAATCTGCATGCATATTACTGTCGTTTGCTAATACTCAAAGGGAAGAGGGAAAAAACTGGGACACATTATGAGTCATGTTTTTCCAGACACTCGGCCAAATTGCCTTTTGATCATCCCGACAAATGGTAGTTTGGTTATACCATAACACCAATGTATTTTCCAAGCTACAAGCATACGCCCAATGTTTTCTACTTTCTTCTTTAATGTTTTGACAAGCCTGGTTACAGATGAGTAAAGGATGACTTGGTCATATAACAAGCATAAAAAGAAAAAATCTTCTACATGTATGAAGAGAAAAAGAGCACCACCATACACACAGAAGAATTCAAGTCAGTTTCCTAATAGAGAATGGATCATTGCCCAATTCTCTCTAAATAAACATGAGCTCCACAGAAATATACCTGTTAAGTTTTTATTTTTAGTTGAGATTCTAATGTGTGTACGATATCATCAGTTTAAATTACAGCATGCTAGAAAACAAACTCTTTCTGCCTTAATTATACTAATTTATTTTACTTTGTAAAATATATTCAATATCTGCACAAAAGACTCACCACACTGAGTGAGTGATATGTCTTAGTTTTAATAAATGCTCATTTTTGCTAATGTATTTTAATTCGTTAAAATAACGTATTTAATTTATCCTGGTTCATATCTTCTTAGTTATAAAGAACACTAAAGAAATTAAATTGATAAAATGTGGTAACTTTGGCACTGTATAGAAATTCTCTGACATGTCATTTGGATTACCTTAATGATGTAGTTTATTTTTCTTTTCTCCTATGAGTAATCTGTCTTATGAATGTAAAGATGTTCTGCATGGATACACTAGATTATATTCCTATTATATATGACTCAGGTAAATCATGGTACAAGTACCCTATACAAATAAAACCACTTAAGAAACCTCCCAAAATGAAGAAGACAATGGACACATATTTTTCTTTCTGAAATTGTTTCATATTAGTATCAACATACCTTGTTAGCCACATTTTCAATGTGTTCATAACTCGGGTAGGATAACTAGTCACCATAAACACATTCATATGTAGCTCTGAGCAGTACTAGTGTCCCATGGCATTTTGGCCAACTGAGTATCATATACCAGCAATGGCATTTTGTCATTCTGGCATTCTGCTGATGGATGGACAGCATCACCCATAATTCACCAGCACAGGGTTAAGGCATAACTATCACCATTTATGTGTTTGCTGCTACTTCATTTAAATTATGTAGACTGTGGTTTCTGCTTACTGGCTGTTTGATCTGCAGTTTTCTGTGGCTGACTTATATAAGTTATCCTTGTATTTCTCAGAAGCAAGTCCTTTTTCT